ACAGCCCATGTTTCTAGCTTTCCTTCCCAAATACGTCTCGGGGCTGTCTTTTGTATCCGGGGACAGGCCTCTGGACGTGTATCTCTGAGCTGCTTGCCCTCACTGGGAGTCCTGCACAGCGAGCCTCTTGCAGAAATACTCTGCGTTTTCATCTGTGCATGTCAAAGACAACCTGGGAGGCCGATGTAAATATGTGGTTGTTTGGGGTGGCAGTACGTACTATTTCCCCTCAGATATAGTGCATTTTCCCTGCATTTTGAGGGGAAGGACTTCATGTGAGTATGTTGGTCTCAGGTTTCCAAAGACCTCGCTGAGCCTTCAGGCTGGCATGCCCCAGCTTTATGTCGGCCCTTTCCCCTTTCCGTTGTGTCCTCTGGGGCTGCTGGGAGTGCGGGCCTCGGGGTACACCACCTTTCTCTTCTCTTAGTGTTGTCCTCTATCAGAAGTTCATTGTACACATTTCTCTCTTCTAGTTTATCTTTAATTCCTGAAAGCAGTGTGTATATAAAACAAATGCTTCCACAGAAGTAGGGAGAGTTTAGTAGGGAAGTTATTAGGTTGTTGGGAAAGTCATGACACATTTTTAAATACGTCGTAACTTTCCCGACAACTTGATAAAACAAAGACATCACTTCCCTGATCTATGTAGATGTGTTTGTATGATTTATGTATTATGTATACAAATACATACACATACGTGTTTGTCTCCAGCTAGAGCATGCTGCTCTCAGTGATGAGCAGCGTGGTATTGGGGACAGTGACTAAGCATTAGGACTTGTCACACTTTCCTGCAACTTCACTCCAGTCAGCAGAGGTCTTGGAATTGTTCTGGGCTCCCATGTAGAATCCACATGGTCACCTAGTGAGACGTGTCTGCATCCTGCTGATGTCCCATGAGTTGGTTGTGGGCACTGGGTATGGGGCTGGGCCTTTACTGTGTGGACTGGACAGTAAATATCTCCTCAACTGGACCGGGTCCCTCTGGGATGTGAGCTAAGGCATTGTCACGCCATGTTCTTACGAGCCCTGGACCTGTGCACTCTGACCTCTGCCAAAGTATGCATGGTCCCTACACTGGTAGTGGTGTTTACAAGTTGGTTTCCTCATTGTTGTAAAACCTAGTCTCATGTTTTCACTGGGAACTTCCACTCACCATTTCCAACTTGCTGCAGTTTTTAAGAGGCTTACATTTACACCCCTTATTTTAGAAAACGTCACCTGCATTTTCCCAGTGACATGTGACATCTACAGAGTGTGTGAGGCATCCCCTAGAGCTACCTCCAGGTCGGGGCCATGGCTCTTGTGCATGGCTGTGGTCATCTGGTGTTGGTGGGAACATTATGGTTGTGTAGACTATACAGCCACCCTCAAACTGATCTTGTGGTAGCTTAACTATCATGAACAATCCTTCTTGAGCCTAGCAGGTTGCATGGTGGTTAATGCATTGGATCCCACATGGCTGACTCCACAGTTTGAATCCCAGACCCGGTAACTTGAAAAACACATTGGGCATGTGTGTATGCAGCCTCAAAATCCAGAGAGGAGACTGGAGGAGAAAGGATAGTGGCATAGCCATCCCCTCTGGGAGAGTGATTTCTCACTTTCCTTCTCTCTGTCTCTCTCTCTTTCTCTCCTGTGAGCATATGTTCCCTGTGCCGAAAATCTAGGGGAAAATTTTTAAAAAAGAATCCTTCTGATTAGTCTATTGGTTCTAGTGCCAAACTGAAATCCCAGCCTTATTTTTCTCTAATTTTGAAAGCAATGAAAGTGTTATCATGATTAATGTATCATGATATGTAAAGAAAAGTATGTATTTAAGAAGAGTTGTGATAGTGGGTATCTTTCCATAATTTTAATATTTTATTTTCCTTTACGTAGTATTTTTAATATACAGAATGTGAGCATTACCTCAGTTCTTCTGAAATGAGTAAGAATCTAGAATTTATCTGAACTGTATTATAGAAGGTACATTTTTCTTATAATCTCAAGTTTGTCAGTCTAGTACTGGTTATTTATATTTCTGAAAGGAAAGCACTTGAATGTTTCAGAGATTAAAAATATTTGATTAAATGTATGTCTGAATATACAATATAATGATTTAATTTTCTATTTTGATAATTCTGTTTAGCAACAAAATCAAATGTAATCAGTAATGTAGTATGTAAATGTTCTTGCTCAAATGATTAATCTCTTAAATTGCATTTTGGCTCTGCCTTTTTAACCTTTTGTTTCCTTTGAGCACCGAAAGGAGTAACCTATCGAGCTTTTGCTGGAGGATGTTATAAATGAAAATTTAGTGTTCATTCCCTCAGCTTTGTCAGCTGGGAGAAGTGGTGTGTGCATGTCAGGAGTGTTTGAAGAAATGATATCTATAGACAGAGTTTGTAAATCTGATCTTGGCCACAGTGCAGTATGAATTTTCCATGGGTTGCTCTAAACCTAGATTATTCTTTACTGTCTTGACTGAGTGACTGCAACCTTGGAAATTAGAAACCTTTAACTTCAAGGATAACTAGGACTTCTTGTCATTTTAAACTTTCCCATGTGTAGAGGATGAACATTTTCATAGTTTCTCCAGTTTTTTTTTTTAATATAATGAGAATCACTTTTATATTTTATAGTAGAAAGAAACCTTAAAGCCATATCACCGAGGCACTTGTAAATTGGTTTGCAATTTTTAAAATATTTTTGGTTATTTAAAAGAATTATTGTGGATTTTCAAAAGATAGATATAGGTCCTTAAATACACTCACATCAGTTACCATTGCAAAGGCCTGCAATCCTCACTCCCTGGTCTTCATGCAATCGGTGGCCTATAAAGCCCACCATGACAAAAAGGAATTTCTATTCTCTCTCCTTTTAAAGTTTGATAAACTTAAAGGGAAGAGTGAATACTTTCTTATTCCTTTTTTAAAATCAAAATCGTTTTTGTTTTGCCGTGTGATTTTAGAATTCAAAAATGTCTTTATTAATTTTAAATACAGTAGTCCTTCCTTACCTACAATTTCACTTTCTATGGCTTCAGTTACCCACAGTCAACTATGACCCAAAAATATAAATGACAAATTCCAGAAATATAATAATTCATAAGTTTTAAATAATTTTTATTGTAGTAAATTGGTCTAATTATTCTATTATTCTTATTTTTATTCCTTTACTGTGCCTAATGTATGAACTTTATCATAGGTATGTGTTAAAAGAAAAACACAACATATATAAGTAGGATTTGGTACTATCCATGGTTCCAGGTATCCATTGAGGGTCTTTGAATGTATCTCCTGTGGATAAGGATGGACTACTGTATAAAGTACTTTGAAAAGGTAGGATAAAAACATCCCTCTGGAAATCAATAAAATAATTGTTTATTTTAAAAAGATAAAATTGCCAGATAAAAGAGGGGTTTTCAAAAATTTAATGGAAAAATGTAATTATGAAAGAAGCTGTGTATGAATTTTTGAAAAATTTTGCACCAAAATAAACTTGTACTTCATTCCCACTTTTCCATGAACTTCTTTGAAGTCCCTCATATTTATGTAGTTAGGAAGTTGTAGCCTGCCTACAGCTACATATCTGTTTATCTGTCTATATAGAATATATGAAGTGTTCAGATTTAATCAGTCCCCATGAATAATAGAAAATTTTAAAAATAAATACTAGGAATAAACCCATATTCCCCCAAAATAATTTTTTAAAAGCCACGATGATTCACATAATTACATACATAGCTTCCCAGTATCGATTCATAAACTAAATCAGATAACTTGACATGACAGGTGTATGAGGATTAAATATTTTACACCTGAAGACCTAACTTGAGAATGTGTATTTTATTCTTTTACTTATTCTTTTAAAATAGTATCTCCTCTTCTGAAAGACGCTGCTATTTAAAAGCCATGAGAGTGTAGGGGTAGGTGACATTGAAAAGGAGGAAAATGTCAAATAAAATATCCTTCTGTTTATATACTGATTTTAAGTCATCTTTCCATTAGACTTATTACTATAATGTCTTTCTGAATTAATTTATCCCACATCATGATAAGTTTGAATAAAGTATCTCTGGATGCTGCCAGGTATTTTCAGTGAAAAACTAAAAAAAGTATTAGGAATTATATCTTTTAATGCAAAAGCAGTTGATGACCCCTAGAAAATAACATTAGTCATCATTCAGCAAAATGTGAACTTGTTTCATTTGAGGCCAGTTGTTCTTTGGTTAAATGCGCACTTGTTCGTGTATACACCAAAGAATAAAATGTATAAGCACACATCACTTAACCAGTTACAAAGGGAGATAAAGGAATCTATAAATTTTGCATTTACAAGATCCTGCAACGAAGGCGTTGTAAGTTACTCTTTCTGGGCACCGCAGGTTCCAGCAGCACTGATGTTAAGGAAAATCGCAATTTGGACAACATGCCCCCGAAGGACGGCAGCGCACCAGGGCCTAGCGAAGGTGCTCAGCTCTCCAACGGGGGTGGCGCTGGCACCAGCAGGAAGCGGCCCCTGGAGGAGGGCAGCAATGGCCATGCCAAGTACCGCCTGAAGAAACGGAGGAAAATGCCTGGGCCCGTCTTGCCCAAGAATGCCCTGATGCAGCTGAATGAAATCAAGCCTGGCTTGCAGTACACGCTGCTGTCCCAGACAGGGCCTGTGCACGCACCACTGTTTGTCATGTCAGTAGAAGTGAACGGGCAGGTCTTCGAGGGCTCCGGCCCCACCAAGAAGAAGGCCAAGCTTCATGCTGCTGAGAAGGCACTGAGGTCTTTTGTCCAGTTTCCTAATGCTTCTGAGGCCCATCTGGCCATGGGGAGGACTCTGTCTGTCAACACGGACTTCACGTCCGACCAGGCTGACTTCCCTGACACACTCTTCAATGGCTTTGAGAACACGGACAAGTCAGAGCCACCCTTTTACATGGGTTCCAATGGGGATGATTCCTTCAGCTCCAGTGGGGATCTCAGTCTGTCCGCATCTCCGGTACCTGCCAACCTGGCACAGCCTCCCCTGCCGATCCTGCCTCCATTCCCACCCCCTAGTGGGAAGAACCCCGTGATGATCCTGAATGAGCTGCGCCCAGGCCTCAAGTATGACTTCCTCTCCGAGAGCGGTGAAAGCCATGCCAAGAGCTTTGTCATGTCTGTGGTCGTAGATGGCCAGTTCTTTGAAGGCTCAGGGCGGAACAAGAAGCTCGCCAAGGCGCGGGCCGCTCAGTCTGCCCTGGCCACCGTTTTTAATTTGCACTTGGATCAGACTCCGTCCCGCCAGCCCATTCCCAGTGAGGGCCTGCAGTTGCACTTACCACAGGTGAGGAAACCATGGCTGCTATAGGACAGAGTCTTGGCTCTTAGTGCTGCCTCTAGACAGCACTTGCTTTCCACCATCATTGTGGACTGTCCACCCACACATCCTCTGCCCACCACAGATAGGTGCTGGAAAGTCTGGCTGCTGGCCACCTTGCCTTGACTGTGCTGCCATGTGGCCACCGAGAAGCCAACATGCTCTTGTGGCACCTGAGGCCTGTCTCCCAGGGCATATTTACTTTTCCATCCAGAGTTCTCTTACCACTTAGCCCCCACCCACAGCAAACCTTTATCAAGAAGAGGGGAGGGCCTGCCCAAATGTGGGACCTGACCCTCAGCTCAGCTATATTTTCCTTCAAAAGTTTCACTGGGAATCCCATGGATGAGACAAGGGAACCTGCTGTCTGGGTCAGGGTGGCAGGACTTGCCGCTCAGCATGAGCTAGGGCAGCAGCAAGCACATTGGGAGAGAGGAACAGGTGCAAGGGCCCCTTTCCAGAGCAGGAGTCTCTGTACCTCCAGGTTCCTATCTGGGACCCACATGAGCCCCCTGCTTGGGACAGAGGTGGGTAGCCACTCTTAATTTTGCTCCTGTCCAAATGTTAGATTTCTTGGAAATTTAAAATCCTGCTGATCTAGCGTACAAATCTGTTTTTCTACTTTCTGTGAAAGTACAATTCAGTCTTGAATTTGAAGATAAAATACAGACTGCCTTTGACCAGAATAAATGAAAGACTCAAAATTGATAGAAGGGCTTGCATTCCCCTCGAAGAACCCAGGTGTGCTGCAGGGTCTCATTTGCCTCTGGATACAATGAAATAAACTCCCTGCAATTGTAGTCAGAGAGGACCTGCAGGTTTTCTTTTGCCTAAAGCAACCAAACATAAGAAAAGTGTGAAGTACTTGCTTCCCTTACTAGCTTACTAGCCTCTTGTTAACGTCATTCACAGGAGTTACCAGTTAATTGTGGGCACCAGATCTCAAGTGGTATTTTTTTCCAGTTTTTTTGCTAAAATTTTAGCCTGAGTTCATAATATCATCTGATGTGACTTGCTGCTTCTTAATGTCAGCAGAGTGGGATTCGGGACCATCGAAATCACATCAGGGATTGTGAGTCTAGTCACAGCGTAGCTGGGACGGCTCAGCCCTGCTTTCCTGGCTGGCTGAGTGTCCTTGGTGATGTCCGAGTGCAAAGCATCAGGGCTCCTGGCTCTGGAAGGCCAAGAGGAGGTGGCTGTCAGGGTCCCCGCCTGTGGAGAGGGGAGCAAGTAGGCAGAGGCCATCTCTGCCGCCTGCCACCACCTTCCTCTGGGTGTGCCAGAGCCAAGCACCAGTTCCTGGGCCTCTCAATTCCAGAACCTTGAGGCTAGAGGGGTAGGGAGCTGTGTCCCCAGTCTCTGCTCAGTAGCCCTGTGCCACTGTGTTTCCATCAGCCCCAGGTAGCTCATGTCACCACATGCTTGTTAGAGAACCTGAGGTGGCCTTCCCAGAATCTGTCCTGAAGGCCTCTAGCCTTCTCATAGCCTCCATTGTCTTTCGAATGGAAATTTCACAGGTAAGATCTCATCTGGGTGAGGACCCTCATTGTCTTTCTAGAATAGCCCTAAGGAGCTCAGGGTAGATGTCCCCAGTCTTAAGATTTTTCTGCCTTTTTGGTATTTATAGTAGCACATGAGGGCTTATCAAGTCATATAGTGTAATGATTGTGTAATGACATAGCACACTCTGTCACAACAGATTTAACTAAAATGGTGTGACCAAACCATTGTCACCAGGTCAGCCCAAGGAGGTGCTTCTCCTGCTTCTGTGTGTCTGGAAGGAAACACTTGTCTCCACTGGCTCATGCTGGACCTGTCTCGTTTCTTCTATAGAAGCAGAGCGTGTGATCTGTTACCTTGGGTTGGCCCTGTGTTGTTCTCACGCCTTGGCTTCCTACCTGGACTGGTGTCTCTGTCCAGGCTTGGCTCCAACATAGCATCCCTCTGCTCGCGTCCTGTGTCTTGTCTTGAGTGTTGTCCTTGGGGGTCACTGTGGAGCAATGGTAGGAAGAAAAGACCCTTACAGCTGGGAAGTGTTTCACTGAGGCTGAGCTGGGACACTTGATGTCAGGCAATGTGAGGGGGATGAGGGTTCACCATGGCTCTCGACGCCCACCTCAGCAGGCATCGTGTCCCAAACACAGGGCTTGTGATAGTCAAGATGAGACAAAGCTGTACAAGTAAGATTGTGTCTAAAGTTTAACCAGTATTGTTTGTTTCTGAGAGGCTCTGCCTTCATACCAATAGTTTTGTGGTCTGAGAAAGTACCAACCAAAGATTCCAGACATCATATCTAACACCTGTTCACAGCCTCAGTCCTCAGTACACTATGATGTCCTTCCATGAGAGCGAAAGTGCTTTTACAAGCTCTAGATCAGCACCAGGTTCTGAGTAGTTAGGCTGAGCTGTGTGCCTCTGTGGGCAACGCTGAAATTACCAATAAATATCTAATCAGGCCTGGAGAGGAGATGCTATGGGAAGCCCTCTGATCTTTTCATTTGATCATGTCTCCACCTGCCCTCTCTACTGCACCCTAGTGCTAACTTCTGGTCTTGTGTAGCATGAGCTGACCAAGTTTGCCCCGTGTGTTTGATAGGAAGGTCAGGAGAGGAGCTCTTCACATCCAGCCTGTTGTAGAGCTGCTGGGGCAGGAAGGAGACTGTGGCTGGGCAGAGAGGTTCCCTGAGCAACCCTCCCTGTGCCTTGTTTTCCTCATGTGAGAGCAGGCTGCTGCATTGTGGGCACAGGAAGGACTACCTGTGTGTAGCAGTTGGCACCATGAGCTCCCAACATGGCCCCGTCCGTGGATTCCTCCAACCCTCTACCTGGGCCTTATATGGTCCTTGGTACCTGGGCTTCCCAGGGATGTTCTGGAAGAAACACACATATGCACACACACACACACATGCATGCATGCAAGTTTGCCAGGCTTAGATGTGTGGCTTTTCAGAGTAGACGTGGTCTGAGTGTCACCACTGAGAGGAGTGTGAGCTGAAAGAAGTGAGCTGTGGCTGCTCCCAGGTGCGCTGTCCTCACCTGCCCACTCTGCTCCTCACCAGGTCTTGGCAGATGCTGTCTCGCGCCTGGTCCTGGGTAAGTTTGGGGACCTGACCGACAACTTCTCCTCCCCTCATGCTCGCAGAAAAGTGCTCGCTGGAGTCGTCATGACGACAGGTACATGTAGCCCCTCCTGTTGTCCTGTTTACCAGTGTGACATGCTCTTAGTCTGTAAAATCCTCTGTGACACACCAACTGGACATGTTTTTTTTTTCTTTTTGTGTTAAAGTGTCTGCCATATGCAAATATAAGAATTGCACGTAAAAACCTTTTGTCCCTAAATGACCAAACTAACCTGTTTGCTTTTATTTGGAGAAAGCATGCAGTATCAGTACTTGATTGTTGTCATCATTCTGTGAATGACCTCAGTCTCTTCTGGACAATGGCAGGGGGTGTCCTTGTTCTTTCTTCACTTGAAGCAAGACTTAATGTACTACTGCTGGATCGGTCTCTGTGAGACTTAGGGGGAAAGGTGCTTTAGCAAGAGTATAAAGTCCATGGGAAAAAGCACAACTGGAATTGCAGCAGAAACCCTGTTAAATTTGACTAGATGTTTCTGGTAGCCGCAGGAATCCCTGGCATCTGCCCACATCCTGTGAGTGAAAACTCTTAGCAGCAGCACTATGGGTAGCTCCTGAGAGCAGGAGACCACACTCCGGGCCAGTGCCTGGCTCTGCAGGGCAGGGGAGGACTCAGGGGCAGGGCCTATTCTTCTGGTCCTCTCTATTTCCAGCATTTACCAGACCTGCCCTGGACAGCTGATTGCAGGTAGCAAGTCCTAGAGGCCAGAGGGAGCTGGGCATGTGTATCTGCCCACGTGTACCATCAAGGGAGAGAGCCCTAGCTCCCCCATAGGTGATCGTGTCATACCTTGCTCCTGAGGTATTCAAAATATAGTAATGCTTGACATTTCCTTATTTGCTTGTCAATTTTATTATTTATTTGAAGTTATTTATTTATTACTTCCATGAGTGAGAGAGACTGTACCCCAATAGAGTCTTGACGCCAAGATCCATACCCTGCCTCAGCCAGCCTGGGATCAGGGGTATGTGCCTGGCTGTACTCAGGAGGCTCTCTGTGGTGACCCTGGAGCCTTCCCGCACACATCAGCCTTTCAGAGCACAGTGTTTACCACTGCACCACTGACCAGCCCCTGTAATCCTCAACATTGATCCACCATGTGACACCCTCTGAAGTGTGACTGCTATTATAGTGGCAATGTTTTCTTACTTCAGTACAGCTAAGAGTGTCTCAGGAGAGGAGCAAGTATCCATAATGATAACTTGGGTTTTAGATTTTATTATTTCTTTCACAAGAGAGAGCAAGAAAGAGAGAGAAAGCTATTCTCGACAGGGCCTCATCACACTGCAGTCCCTTCTCCCCAGCTCTCCAGCTCATCAGGATCTTGGGTGTGCATGCCCACCCAGCCTGTTTCAGACTTACTCAGAATCCAAACCTGTGGTGGGCCTGTGGCTTCCAGCTCTGCAGAGTAGCGCACTGTTGCTTGCAGCACCCAGGCCAGCCCAGCCCAGATTTCCAGTTTTATTCAAATGTTTGACACCTGTTCTTTCCTCCCTCTCCCTCTCTCTGCACTGTTACCTTTCATGTTACTGGAAAGTGAACTAGCTGCTGAGTAAAGGAGTTCCCTGTGAACTGTGCCTCCTCAGCAGTGTGAGAGAACAAGCAGGGAGTATTCTTCCATATGGTGTTCAGCCTCCAAGGAGGAGGCACATCACCTCATGGTGTGTATTTCACTTGAGACCGTTTCCTCAAAGCCAGAATGTCCATCCAAGGCCAGAACCACGAAGCACTTGGCACAAGGGTTCTGGGCTCAGGAAGCCCAGTGCAGGTCGGGCCTCTTGGTAGGTGAATGGCCTTGGGCAGATCATTATCCTCTGCACCTCAGTTGCCTCCTCTGTAAAATGGAGACAGTAAGAGCACATGCCTCAAAGGATGCTGCAGGGGGAACCAGCAGTTAGCGTAATGGCTATGTCGCTGGACTCCCACGTAGTCGACCGCGGTTCGTGTCCCGGACCCGGTGGCTTAAAACTCACGCCGGGCACGTGTGCGTGCGTGCCCAAGATCTTGAGAGGAGAATGGAGGAGAAGGGATTGCGGCGTGACCATCCCCCCTGGGGGGTGATTTCTCGCTTTCTGTCTCTATGTCTCTCTCTGTCTGTCTGGCGAGCGCACGCGCCCTACAGTGAAAATCTCTCCAAACAAAAAACAAACAAACAAACAAACAAACAAACAAACAAAAAAGGATGCTGCAGGGATGCGAGGAGAACCATTTACCTGGCACCTAGTGCAGCTCCTCGCACGGGCGTGCACCCTCCTTTAGCTGTGGTGCCTGCAGTCACTTGTCAGGTCATGCCCAGGGTCTTTGCATTATGTCTTGGTTAATGGTCTGTCTTCCAGGGTTCGTACCAGAGGAACCCCTCTGTGCAGGTCACCCTTCTCATGATTTCAGTACCAAGATGGCTGCATGGTGACAGGTTACATTGAAAACATGAGAGTTAATCAGTTTTCTTTCCAGTTTCTAGTTTTTCTAGGTATCTTCAAATCATCCCTTCTGATTTCTTTAGTGCTTTGATGTTTAATTTCAAGATGAGTTATGAGGCCCAGGTCTGAAGGTCAGGCTCACTGGGCTATGCTGGAGCCCATGAGACACCCAAGGTTCAGATCCCAGGTTGACCGATGTACACTGAGCATACCTGTGGGTGCCCTTGGTCCTGGAAGGCGGGATGGGGGAGATCATGGTATGTCAAGACCCTTTCAAGGATTTCTGTGTGTCTCTCTCATTTTGAAAGAAAGAAAAATAAAAAGAAACTTATTTTTTAAAAAGATGAATTGCCAAATCAGCTGACTTTCACACGGTGTGTCCAGTGTATGTTCTCATGCTGACGTTCCAGGAAAGACATCATTGCATGCCAGAGGAAATAACTTCCCTGAGTTTAAAGGCCGCAATATCAAGGAAGGGCAGCTCCCCAGACATGTCCCGGGGTGTGTCCCCAGTAAATGTGGGAGTTGATCCAGTTAAAAATCAGGTCAGAGTGTGTGCAAAGATGAGCTTGGGTAAAGTAGAGGCCCCGAGAGTACAGGCTGGCCCCAGGAGTTATGCAAAACGAGCTCTCATCTGTTTTTCAGGCACAGACGTGAAGGATGCCAAAGTGATAAGTGTCTCTACAGGAACGAAATGTATCAACGGTGAATACATGAGTGACCGTGGCCTTGCACTGAATGACTGCCATGCAGAAATAATATCTCGAAGATCTCTGCTGAGATTTCTTTATGCACAGCTTGAGCTTTACTTAAAGTAAGTTTAGTAAATAAGTAAAGGAAGCTATTTTTAAAAAATATATTCTTCTATGAGAAGATATTGCAAAACCTTTCTGTACTTCTGGAATCCCTGAAAAATTCTCAAAATAATAGCTTTGTCAATTACTAGAAGGCCAGATTCCTTTCTCAAGATACTGAAGCCATGAAATAGGGTTGGCTACATTATAAAACATGCACATACATGTGTGTGTATATATGTATATACAGGTACAGAATTGGCCATAAATTTCAAGGCTGTGTGAGGCCGTGTGACTTTGTTCCATGCCATTTAGATATAAATGGAACTTCCTAAACTTCCTGGTGCAGATGGCCATTTTCATTCTGTCCACTGTCCCTAGAAATAACTGGCCATGTATGTAAAGTACTTTTCTTTACCGAACCATTTCTTCCATTCGATCTGTGCATTCTGAAGACATAAATGAGAAGACGAAAAGGCTACTCAGTACATTTCAATGACATGTTCATTAGTGAGTGCACACAGAACATGTCACTTACCATAAACACGTAAAATAAATATTCCAGTTCAAACTTAGCTTTGCCTGTTGAAGATATTGGCCTTGGAAAAGCATTCTGTACTCAGATAGCCTAAATTCCGTATGCAGCATTAAAGGTGGCTTTCGCAACTTTCTTCATTTCAGTAGCAGAGATGACCAGAAAAGATCCATCTTTGAGAAGTCAGAGCGCGGTGGGTTCAAGCTGAAGGAGAGTGTACAGTTCCATCTGTACATCAGCACCTCTCCCTGTGGAGATGCCCGGATCTTCTCGCCACATGAGCCAGTGCTGGAAGGTATGCACTGGGGTTTAGCTGCTGGCAGTTTCTCGAGAAAACTTACCGTGTGTAATAATAGATACAAGAACATGTCTACATTAATATCTTTTTTCTTTTTTAAAAAAAAAGTTTTTAGCTTAGATGTGGATCTGATAGCAATCTTTATAAAACAGATTTTTTTCCAATGAATAATTTAATTAGAAAATTTTAACTGTTGAAAAATACTGACTCTAACGAATCAATTCATTAGAATGAGGGGTATTAGATAAAAACTGTATCAGTATTTAACCATGATGATACAGATCTTTAAATCAGAGGTATGTGATCTTCCACATGTGATGAATTATAATGTAATAAAAGTGTAATTGAAGTATTTAGCTGATACCATGATAGGCAGTTAGCTAGAAATGAGTGGGTAACTCTGAGAAAATAGCAAAAGGACACTTGTCTCATCAATCACAAATTACCAGGAGTTACAACTAGACCCTCTGCAGAGACTCCTTCCTGCCCAGCTCCCAGCACCAGGAAAGTGAGGCAGATCTCATTTTCCTTTTTTAGTACCTGAGAAAAGCACATAGGGATGGTTGCTAACTCCCCTCTTACCACGCCTCATAAATCCAAAAGGACCCAACAAGACGTTTTGGTCAACATCCTGATGCGCACTGGGGCAATAAACTGATTGGGCAGTTCATCCGAATAAAGATGTTCATACTTTCTGAGTCCACACTGAGCATGTGCAGTAAGGTAATTGGATTCCTCACCTGTGAGAGAGATACAGAAGCATAGGAGAAAGCCTGCAAATTCAAACAAAGAAGCCAGATACTATGACAGACCTTCCCCAGCTCAATCCTCATTACCAACTCTTAGAGTAAATCTAACACCTACCCCCAGGCTCAGTGCAGTCGTCCTTCTCTGGCACCTGCCCACCTGCATGCCTTTCAGGCCTAGAGGTAGACTTATTTTTTTTTTTTTTTGAGAGGTTTTCGCTATAGGGCGCATGCGCTCGCCAGACAGAGAGAGACATAGAGACAGAAAGTGAGAAATCACCCCCCAGGGGGGATGGTCACGCCGTAATCCCTTCTCCTCCATTCTCCTCTCGGGATCTTGGGTACGCACACACACGTGCCCGGCGTGAGTTTTAAGCCACCGGGTCCGGGAAGCGAACCGTGGTCGACTACGTGGGAGTCCAGCGACATAGCCATTACGCTAACTGCTGGTTCCTGAGGTAGACTTCTTTTCTATTAAAAATCTTTACTTTCCTAATCGAACTTCCCTTTTCCTACTTTATAAGTGTTTGTGATTTTTCATTTTGCGTGTCAGGACAGGTCTCTAATCTTAGAGATCTGGACCTAAAAAAACAAGGACTTTACACAACGCAGCTCAACACTCCCATCCTGTGACAGTACTTCAGAAGCAGATAGACACTGTTGAAAAGTGAGACTGCTGTTTTGATCACATTTTGTTCCATTTATCTTTGCACACAAGGTTAACACTTTTTGTTTTATAATATTTTATATCTACATCTCTTCTTCCAAGCTTAAGCATTATTTATTCCAAATAGAATACTTTATTATATTATTTCCCTTGATTATAAAAGCAACACACATTAATTTCAGTTAAAATGAAAACCTCCTTTTTCTCAATCCCCAAAGAGACCACTTTCATGCATTTATTTTGTGTCTAGTCTTCCTGTTTAATTTTATATACTTAGAATATTTATTTGTATATAAAACATAAACATGCATGTATGAGAGAACATCAAAAAGTTAATAGAAAATGGAATTTTAAAGTTTATTTTAGTGCAAAAGTTTTAGAAATCCATGCATAGTTTTTTCTTAATATGCATTTTCCATGGCCTTTTAAAAGACCCTTCATACATGCATAAACTGTATTTTAAATTTATCAAGTATTGCCAGATTTCATCTATTTTCAATATACTAATAGATAGTTAACTGCCTGTGGGTTCTTTTATCCTTGTTTTTCTCTCTTAGAACCAGCAGATAGACATCCAAATCGTAAAGCAAGAGGACAGCTACGGACAAAAATAGAGTCAGGCGAGGGGACCATCCCGGTGCGCTCAAATGCGAGCATCCAAACGTGGGATGGTGTGCTGCAGGGGGAGAGGCTGCTTACCATGTCCTGCAGTGACAAGATTGCACGGTAAGACAGCATGTGGCACCTGCCGGCCACAGTGCAAGTGATTCACTCATTGTGATTTCCACTTCCCTTTTCAAAACCATTTGGATTTGGGACCAGCAGTTAGCATAATGGCTATGTCGCTGAACTCCCATGTAGTCAACCGTGGCTTGAGTCCCGGACCCGGTGGCTTAAACTCACACCAGGGGCATATGCGTGCGTGCCCAAGATCCTGAGAGGAAAATGGAAGAGCAGGGATTGCAGCGTGGCCATCCCCCCTGGGGGGTGATTTCTCACTTTCTATCTTTCTGTCTCTCTCTCTGTCTTTCTGGCGCATGCACACTCCCTATAGCAAAAACCTCTCCACAGAAACAAAACAAAACAAACAAACAAACAAAAAAATTGGATTTGATCCCATCTCTCACACAGGTGTTTCACAGTCTTTTTGAAGGGCTAAGGCTCTGAACAGTTTCTGGAGGGACCACCTCAAGGTGTAAAGCTGGGGCCCTAGACAGGAAGCTAAAGGTCCCCACACTGCCTCTTTCTAAACAAGCCTCTCTACTCATGTCATACATAAGGGTCTTTGAAAGTTCATGGGAAACCAATATGCTGAAAAAACTATGCATGGATTTCAAATATTTTTTGCAACCAAAATAAAGTCATATCTCAATTCCATTTCTCTACAAACTTTTAAACATCTCCTTGAATTTGAATGCATCTGCTTCTTGGTTTAATTTATGTATTTCATGTGCTGCATGCAGGCTACAGTACTTTAAGCTATTTGCTCCCATAGTAAGGACAGGTTGCTTTCCTCTTTAATAGTAGATGTAACTCTAATGGTCGCATCCACCTTTCAGTTTTACAGTGGTATTCGCATTGTAAAAATGATGTATAAACATCACAGAGAGCATCCCCAGCCTTTCTGCATCTGGTGGTGGGTTAGCTTAGATCAGGGGCTTGGCAAATACTCTGCTCTAGCTAACACGTGCTTTGGAAATGTTCTCGCAGAAGCCTTTATCCAGGTCAGATTTTACAAAAGCCATTTCTAAAGATGCTGCTATCAATTCTAGAAACTTTTGTTTGTTTTTATTTTTAAACCAATGTTTATTTAGGGGAAAAGAAGTAATATAAGCAGATTGTGAAAAAAAGCATTCATTGGTACAAAAGTGTATAAAATGAAAACTCTCCCCTCACACAACCCTTCTCTGATGTCCCTATAGGGAGGTTCTTGCTTCCTATTCAGAAGCTTTTGAAATTGACATATGTGCACATATATGCATCTCTTCAACAGTTTGTAAACTTTTGTACTGATTGTCTTCAACCAGTCTTGTCAGAAACCTCAAGTACATGGAGGTTAAAATTATTGGGTAAGGTCATGCCTACTTAAGGGTGTCTACTAATAAAAATTGAGTTAATTATGTGCTTTGGGCCATTCCCCCAAGTCTTGTACCCACTGTGATGTATTTATTAGGTTGTTGGAAAGCTGTAATGTATTTTTGTATGTTTTTCTATGCAAAAAATGTGTCACAACCTTCCCAACAACCCAATAGTTATGTCCTTCCAATCCACCTTTCATAGCTTTTATTTATGTGTGTGTGTAGTGAAAAATATCCAGTAGTGTCGTTTGGGGGTATTTGTGTATATGTCATTATGTAAATGGTATTATGCTGTAAATCCCATTTTGTTTATTATATTTCATTTAACTCTGTTTTGTAAACTGTCCTCAGGGTTCTATAAACAGCCAGTTTATTTCTTCTAATTTTTGCAAGTATTCTGCCTAGTCTTGGACCACGTCCCTCATGATGGACATCTGGGTGTCCTATTGACTCCTTTTTGCCCATAGCCCTGAGCGTCCTTAGGCATACCTCACTGCAGACCTTGGCTAGAGATTTCTGGGACATATATGTAGGAGTTACGTGTATATGTACCTTTGTAGAATAATATCAGACTGTACCCAGAACAGGCACACCAGGTGACACACCAACTGTGCATTCATTCAGTTTCCCCCACATTTCGTTAACTGGTGTGTCATAGCTAAAATTTGCATTTCTGTCATCAGTACGAATGTTGATATCTCTTCAACTACAAACCATACGTCTTTCACCTCTTTGATTTGCTTGTTTACTTCCTTTGTTCGTTTCTCTTTTAAATGATATGGCTTTTTCTTATTTTGCAGAGTTCTTACATTGTAGTCCTTAAAACTTTGAGAAGATTTAATGTCTACTCAAAGTCCATTACCCATATCTTTATGCCATTTTTTATTGACGAGAAATCCTTAATATTGATTCATTAATTATCCATTAATTTTTCATCCTATAATTTTCACTCCGGAGATCTTATTGAAGAAATCCCTCCTAAAGGGCTGACCCCATAGCACAGCAGTTAAGCATGGTGTATGGGGAGCTGGATCTCACAAGGCTGACCATGGTTCAAATCCCAGACCAAGCAGCTTGAAAAAACCAGGTGCATGTGCGTGTGTGTCCCAAATCCTGATGGGATGGAGAAATAAAGGAAAAAAGAATTGCAATCTGACTGTGCTCTTTGTGGGCTGAATTCTCTCTCTCTCTTTTTCCCTCTCTTTCACATAGGCCCTCTCACACATTAAAGGAAACAAAGGAACTAAAAAAAAACAGAAATCTTTAGTGTCTTGCTAAGATTTTATATGTAGTTGCATTGAAATTATGGATTGCAAATAAAAGAATTAACATAAAATTAAATCAGCCTGTCCTCAAACATTACATATACCTCTCCATATTTAAACTTTTTCTTTTGTATCTTTTATAATTTTTCATAAAGGTTAGGCAGTTGTGGCAGATTAATCTCTGAACTTTATAGTGTCTACATTAGTGTGAAAATTATTGTCTACTGTATATTCTGGATAATTATCGCTTGTATAAACAAACACCACACCATTAATTTTTTTTTTAGAAGGAGAGATTTTTGCTATAGGGCATGTGTGCTCTCTGGAGAGACAGAGACAGAGACAGAGATACTGAAACTGAGAAGTCACCCCTCCCAGGGGGAATGGCCATGCCACAATCCATTTTCCTCCAGTCTCCTCTCAGGATTTTGGTCATGCACGCACATACGCCTGGCATGAGTTTTAAGTTGCCAGGCCTGAAACTCAAACTGCAGTCGACTGTGGGAGTCTAGCAACATAACCATTACACCATCTGCTGGTCCCATTCATTAATATCTTTAATTGGGGAAGAAAACACAAAATTTACCATCATTTGTAAAGGTATAAATGTTAAAGGTACAAAGTGTTAAGTATGTTCACATCATTATGAGGGATCTCTCGAGCTTTTTCACCATGCAGATCATTAAACAGCAGCTCTTTTGGATCTTCAGATGTCTGTCAAATCCATTTCATTTATAATGTCATTTAGATCCTATATATCTTTGCTAATTTTTTGTCTAGATGATCTGTCCAAAGGAGATAATGGGGTATTGGGATTCCCCAACAGTTAGTGTATTGCAGTCTCTCTCTGTCTCTCTTTAGATCTAATAGTCTTTCATGTATTTGGGTGCATAGATATTTATAAGCATTATACCTTCTTGGTGAATACGCCCTTTTAGTACTACGTGATGTCCTCCTTTATCTCTTCTTTTTTTATATTTAATTTTATATATTATTAATTTTTATATTTAATTTTATATTTTATGTTTTATATATTTTATTACTTTTATACATTCAATCACTGTACATCACTTCGTTTGTAAAGTGAATTTACTAACATGAATCCATGTCTCACCAGTCCAGTTGGGGATACTTTGTCTCTTCTTACAGTTTTGGTCTTAAGCCTATTTTGTCAGATACCAGCATCACAACTCAAGCCTTTTTTTTTTTCCCAATTCGCATGGAATATCTTTTTCCAGCCCTTCACTTTTAATCTATTTATGTCTTGATCCATGAGGTGTGTTTCATGTAGGCAGCAAATAGAGGGTTTCTGTTTTTATATCCACTCAGCCAGTCTGTGTCTTTGGATTGGGTAATTTAATCCATTAACATTCAATGTTATTACTGATATTTGTAAATTTGTCCCTGCCATTTTGGTAGCCATTTTCTTGGTTGTTTTTCGTTCTCTAATTTCTGTCTGTCTCTCTTTAGTTTTCCTGATACAGTACTCCCTTCATCACTTCTTGAAGAGCTGACCTAGTATTGGTGAATTCTTTCAGTTTTTGTTTGTCCAAAAATGAATTTATGTGTTCTTCCCATTTGAAGGAAAATCTTGCCAAGTATAGTATTCTTGATTGAAATTGTTTTTCTTTTAGTATTTTAAATATTTCATCCTGGGACCAACAGATGATAAAATGATTACATTTGCTGGACTCCCGTGTAGTTAACCACGGTTTCAGTACTAGACCCAGTGGCTTAAATTCATTACCAGGCGCATGTGCATGTGTGCCCAAGATCCTGAAAAGAGAATGGAGGAGAAGAGATTATGGCATTGCCATCTTCCCTGGGGGTGATTTCTCTCTCTCTATCTCTCTGGCAAGTGCACATGCCTATAGCAAAAACAAAACAAAACAAAACAAAACAAAAACCTCTCTTAAATATATATGTGTGTATGTGTATGCGTATGTGTATATGTATATGTCATCCTCTTCTTGCCTGCATTGTTTTGGTTCAGAGGTCTGATGTTAGCCTCATAGGATAACCTTTGTAAGTGACTTCTTTCTCTTGCCATTTTTAGAATCTTGTCTTTGTGATTTTTATCAATCTTCCTATGATATATGATGTACTATGGGAAGGATTGTCTTATGTTGTTTCGATTTGGGGACTTTTGTATTTCTTGGGTCTGGGTGTCTGAATGCTTCTGTAGATTTGTGAAGTTTTCTATAAATATTTCATGAAATAGATCTTCTATGCCCTTGTCTGATTCTTTACCTTCTGAAATACCTATTATTCAGATATTTGGGCATTTAATAGTGTCTAGTACTTCCTGTATGCTGTCCTCATTTTTTAAAAATTATGTTTTCATTATTTTTAGTAGTTTTTTCTAAATCAAAGGTTTTATCTT